ATACAAATACATTTCTGTTTGAGCAGTTGAAAAGGGCTTTATAATGATATTCTGATATTCTAATGAGGGTAGGGGGAGAGAAATCAGTATGTTATAATAATAAGAATAATAGTAACTAAAACTTATATTTCACCTTAAGGTTTACAAAGTATTTTACAGATGTTACCACATTTGATCCTCATGACAACTCTGAGGAAGACAGTATTATTATCACCATTTTATTGATGAGGAAACTGAAGGTTGCAGAGGTTAAATGGCTTGCCCAGTGTCACACAGCTAGTAAATATCTGAGGTTAACGTTGAGCTCAAGTCTTCCCGACTCCAAATCTTACACTCTATTCACTGAGCTTTATCCAGGGGCCACCTAGTGTCTTGACATCCCTTCAGAACTTTAATGTCTGAAGAAAAATAGAGGTCCTAAGATGTGGATTGGTTCTATTCTAACAGTTTCAACAGGGGTTAGAGAAGATTGGGTAAGAGAAAGAACATATTAGTATAGAAAGAGGAACTGGAGGGGGACTTCCTGTTTCTTATAATTGGGGTATATAAGAAGAATATGCAAACATGGAAGGAGCCGACATCAGGTGAAATGACACTATACACAGTTTGGAACTGTAACAAACTCAACAGGAAGACAAACGGGTAGGGAAGAGGGAAGGGGTTAAGAAGGAGGTTAATACCGGAGAGAGAATAGTCACAAGCAAGATAAAAATCATGATTCTGAAGAAAAGACTAAAAGGGGCAGGCAGGGAGGGAAGGCTAAAATCTAAGGAACTGCCTTAGAGTGCCTCTTGGACAGTTAGGGAATGATGGCACAATAGAATGAATAGAATGAAACATTCTGCTATATTACAAAAGAGATTATTGCAGAGAATCCTAGGTAGGGTGAATGATTAAGAGAAAAGTGAGCAGAACCAGAACATTTTATACAAAGACATTGTTACATGGTAAAGGAAAACAACTTTGAAAGACTTAAGAATTTTGATCAAATCAGTGACCAAATTGTATCTCCAAAGAACCTGTGATAAAGCATGTTACCTGCCTCCTGACATAATGAAAACAAGGTAAAGAAAGAGTCATATATTGGACATAGCCATTACTTTGATTCATTTTGCTTGACTGTGCTTATTTGTGACAAGGGTATTTTTTGTTCTTCTTCAGTTAATGGGAGGAAGGGGGGAGGTAGCAACAGTAATGCTAAGAGACAAAGAGAGAAGGCCATTCAAACCTTTTTTTAATGCATAAATGAGAACAGAAGTTGAAAAGAAAACACAGACAAGCAAGACCGTTTTTGAAAGTAATAGTTTAGGGTCAGGCAAGATGTGACTGGCAGTAGCACAAGGAAGCAAGGATTCAAAAGTAGAAAATAGTGCGTTTATTTGAACTGTTTACTCATACGATCAAGATCGTAATCGAAAGTGAGAGCAAAGTAAGGGTGATAAAGACTTAGGAGAGGGAGTTGTGGAGTGACAGAAGTCTTGGAGAATTGGGTTAGAACTAAGAAAGAAATGGAAATGCAGTTTCTAACTGAAGAGCATGTCGAGGTATTTGGAGACACCCTGTTTCCCAGAGCCAAGGCCCAGCAAGCAAGCTGTGCCCTGAGCTCGGCATAACAATCCTTTGGGCTCTGGATTTCAGCCACAGCAAAATTGTTTCTTGCACTAGGTGTTCTCAGACCTCGGACAAGCACCTGCTGTCCACATTCTGGTCATGAGGCCTGCTGTGAATCAAACTTGTTACATTGTTGCTGTTGTCCCTCATTGTCAGGGCTATAGCTCACTGCATAGTGAGATGTCCTTATGCTAAAGTGGGTCCCTCTCACTACAGACAGGTCTCCGCCCCATGTGTCCTTGCTTGGAAGCTGTTTTCCTCACTTTGGAATAAATTAAACTTCTGTTTGTGTCCTGCCTCTCCTGGCTCTACCCTGCTCTGTTCAGTTCTGACCATTCCCAAGTCAGAGGCCAGTTACCAGTCTGGTTGACAAGAGGACAAGAGGAATTTCAGAGTTCTAGATCGTAGAGGTAGCACAAAGGTATAACCATCCCTAGGGACGGCTATGGTGGATTGAAGTTGTTATTTATGGTTATTGAGGAGGTTGGTGAACTGGGAGGCTGTGAAAACCGAAATGACATTAATATAAAACCCTTAGGTGTGATAGGTCAACTGGACAGAATGGCCTCTCTAATCTGTGGATGACCAGAGCCAAACAGAGCAGACTAGAGACAGGAGAATCAGGAATCAAACAGGTTTAATTTCAAAGTGAGAGAAACAGCTTGCAAGCAAAGCAAATTAGACACATATACTGGGGCCCCACCCCATGGGGGGGGCCCTGCCTTAGTTTGACCAAACCTTGATTTATATGTTTAGTGTAGTGTAGCAACAGTGGTGAGGCACAACAGAACAGTGAAGCAAGATTGTCTAGGGCCAAAAAGTTCGTTCATAGCAGGGCTTTATGTTTGGGCCTGTTGGTGTGTGGACAAGCTCAGGAACCATCATTTCTGTGATTTAGTTGCAGCAGTGTTCATCCAGAGTGTAAGTGCAAAGGATTGTTGTTATGCCAAGCTTAGGACACAGCTTGCTTGCTGGGCCTTAGCTCTGGAAAACAGGGTATCTTCTAATATCTTGACAGACAGCAGGGTTAAGGGAAGAAGGAAGTTGTGAGCCAGTTATTGGACTCCTTCAGGTCAGTCAGTAAGCATTTATTAAATGCCTAGTATGTGCCAGACACTCTGCTAAGCTCTGGGGATACAAAAAGAGGCAAAGACAGTCTTTGCTCTCAAGGAGCTCATAGTCTAATGGGGAAGACAATATGTAAACAACTATGTACAAATAAACTATATACCTGATAAACTGGAAATAATTAATAGAGACAAGGCAGTATCATTAAGAGGGATTAGAAAGAAAGAAAGGCTTCCCTGCAGAAGGTGTGATTTTAGCTGGGATTTGAAGCAATTCAGGATGTGGAGGTGAGGAGGAAGAGCAATCCAGGCATGGGCCATAGCCAAAGAAAGTGCCCCGAGCAGCGAGCTGGGATATCCAATCTGAGGAACAGCCTAGAGACCAGTGTCACTGGATCTAAAAATATGTGGGAGAAAGTAACCAATAAGACTTGAAAGAAGTTGGGGTGGAGGGGGAAGTGGCTAGGCTATAAAAGGCTTTGAACACCAAACTGAAGATTTTTTATTTTTTCCTGAAAATGATAGGGAGCCATTAGAGTTTATTGAGTAGGGAGGTGTCATGGTCAAGCTTGTGCTTTAGGAAAATGACTTTGGCTTTGGCAGCTTAATGGAGGATGGATTGGACTGGGGAAAGACTTGAGGCAGACAGACCCACCAGCGGGCTATAGGAATAGTCCAGGGATGAGGTGATGAGGGCCTGTACTAGAGTGGTGGCAGTGCCAGAGGAGAGAGGGGGCATATTCGAGAGGTATTGCAAAGGTGAACAACAGGCCTTGGCAACAGCATGAATGTAGGGAGTTGGGACAGGGAGGATGAGAGATGAGGAATGACAGATGACACTTAGGTTGTGAGCCTGGCTAACTGGGAGGATTTTGTTGCCCTCTACATTATTAGGGAATTTAAGATGGGAGGAGGGTTTAGGGGAAAAGATAATGAGTTCGATTTTGGAAATGTTGAGTTTAAGTTGACTACTGGGTATTTAGTTCAGCGTCTGAAAGAGTTGGGGATTGGAGGTCAGCAAGAGAGGTTAGGGCAGGATAGATAGATTTGAGATTCATCAGCTTAGAGATAAAAATTATATCTATGGGAACTGATGGGATCACCAAATGAAGTAGTGTAGAAGAAGAAGAGGGCCTGGGGCAGAATCCTGAGGAACACCTATATGTGATCTGGAGAGAGATCCAGCAAAGGAGACTGAGAAGGAGCTGTCTAACAAGTAGGAGGAGAACGAGGAGGAAGTGGTGCCCTGAAAACCTACCCTGAAGAGAGTATCAAGGAAGAGAGAATGATTAACAATGTCAGAAGCTGCAGAGAGGTCAAGGAGAATGAGGACTGAGAAAAGACCATTGGATATGGCAACTAAGAGACCATTGGTAATTTTGAAGAGAGTAGTTTTGAGATCAGAAGTCAGACTGAAAGGAGTTAAGAGGAGAGGAAATGGAGAAACCTATTGTATATGACCTCCAGGAGTTTAGCCACAGAGGGCAGAAGAGATACAGGACAAAAGCAGAGGTGAAAGGATTGAGTGAGGGTCTGTTGAGGATGAGAGAGTTATAGGCATGTTTCTAGGCAGCAGGGAAGGAGCCATAGAGAGGGAGAGATTGTAGATAAGTGATTGAGTGGAGAGAACAGAGAAGACAATCTGCTGGAGGAAACGGGATGGAAGGAGATTGCTTGTGCAGGTAAAATGGTTATCCTTGGCAAGGTTAAGTCTATCTCTTCATGTGAGATGGGGGAGGAGAAGAGTGGCAAAAGGCATTGGAAGAATGGAAGATGAGGAAGAGGAAAGAATAAATGCTCTGGTATAGGTTAGACTAGATAACCTCTGAGGTTCCTTCTAACCTTGATGTTCTATAATTCCTAACACTTCCCTCCCTTTGCACCATGATTCCTCCTTTCCTTCTGCATACATAAGACACTGATGCAGAAGTTTCAGTGGTGAAAACAAACAGAGAAAAGTGTAAGACCTAGGATAAGCTGGGTAATAACAGCTTGCAGTTCAGTAGTGCTTTAAGGTTTTATAAAGCACTTTACCCATTTATATCCAATGAGATAGGTAATACATTATTATCCCCATTTTACAGATGAGAAAACAGAGACCCAGAGAGGTTAGGTACAGCTAACTTATAAATGTTCTGGGTCTTGGATTGCATGAGCCAATCCTTCAAAAAGTGTGATCATCCCTATTTCATCAGCCAGGCTAAGTCATAAGATTATCTTTTTCATCAGGAAGGGGCAGCCTGTAGCTTTCAGTTTTGTTAAGTATTTCTCAGTAATAGGGTGGTTTCCAGTAACCCACTTCTGACCCGAGTAGGAGGAAGGCGGGGTTCAGAAGAGAGCTTAAATTGGGAACTGGGAAGGGATTGGTAGAACATCCTGCTGTAGCCTGTGTGTGCAGAGTTCTCCTCTTCCACCTGGGTTTGTATTCACGTCTTTGCTGATAGTTTTAGCTCTTTTTATTGCATGTAATTACCTTTTACCAAAGTGTTAGAGAACTTAAAGAAGAGAGAATGATGCTGGGGGGAGTAGTCAGGAGCCAGTGCATGTCAGCATCTTGCTTCCTTAAATAAGAGAATGAGCTGGGTTCTGTTACTGCTAAAGTTGTCATCAATAAGGAGAATCTAGAAATTAGTATAATAATTTTACTGTGCATAAATATATAGTGTTTGTTTTTAATACTTTGAGGTAGTTGGGGAGGTTCTACTTTATATTTGTGTGGTCTGAGAGGGCAGAACTTAGAAAAAAATGAATAGTTTTTTAATTGAATTTTATGTATTTAAATTAACAAATATCAATTTAATCTCCCACCACTCCACCAAAAAAAAAAAACCAAACAACCAACTTTGTAACAAATATGCATAGCCAACCAAAATAAATTCCTGCATTGGACATATCCAAAAAGATATGTCTCATTCTGCACCCTGAGTTCATGACCTCTCTGTCAGGAAAGGATCAGATGCTTCATCATCGATCTTCTGGAATAATGGTCAGGCATTGCACTGATCAGAGTTACTTTGTTTTTGCAGTGTTGGAAAGGGTAGAAGTTTTAGGGAGGCATATTTCAGCCCAACGGAAGAAAGAACTCCTAACAGTTATAGCTATTTAGACAATGGAATAGGCTGCCTCAGGAAGCAGTGAGGCTCTGTCATTGTAGATCTTTAATGGAAAACTTGCTGTCCACTTGCCAGGAATGTGGTCATGGAGATTTATGCTTCAGTGTTGGATGCGATTGAAATCCTAGAAATGTCTAAATATTTTGAGTTAGAAACTCAAAATTCTCTACTTTATTTTCCTTGATTCTACCTCCTTAATGAGGAAAATTTGGGCAGAATTACATTTCCATGATATTACATGAATATATTCTTACACTGCCTTCCAATTATTGTGAATAAATCACTTATCTAACTTTTTTAAGAGCATGTTTTATTGCATGGAGAATAAAATGTGGAAATAGAACTTTTTTCCTTTTAGTGGAAGAAAGACTTTTTGCTAGATTGATGTGGGGTAATAGAAGGTACACTGTCTTCCCAGCAGAAGACTTAGGTGGAGTCCTGGCTTCTAGGCTTAACTAGTTATATGACCTCTTCAGTTTCTCTGAGTTAATCTGTAAAATGTAGATAATAATACTTGCACTAGCTACCTCACAGGAATGTGGCAATAGAAGTGTTTTGTAAACCTTAAACCTTATAGAAAAGTCATTGTTAAGGAAGACATAGGTCTAGAAATGTTAGCCATCATCATTGTCACTATTAAATGGTAATGTTTGATTTCTTGCCATATTCTTTTCTTGGTGGTAACCTGTAATAAAGAGAAACAGGAAATTGTGGCCCCATTTGTCTTTGTGAAAGACAAGCTCTTTATTAGGTTGATGATAGAAACCAGTCCCTCATGCTGAAGCCTAGAAGTCGGGGGGGGGGGGGGGGGGGATTGTTGCTTAAAAAAAGGTTTGTTTTTTGTTTTTGTTGGGATTGGGGGGGGGGGGCGAGGGGAGATATTGTCATCCTCCCTTCCATAAATTCTCTTAGCACTGCTTTGGCACTCCACAATTGGGCTAGGATGATGAGGGATAGCTTCCATTTTTGACATTAAGAAATCTTTCTGAATCACCAGTGCTCCAGGTTATACATACTGGTGCTGCCCTGCACCTCTTTTGTATAATTGTCATATCCTGTTAATCTTTCTGACATATAATTTATATAAAATTCAACAATTTCCCTAGTTCTTATTTGTTCAGTGGTTCTCTTACTTTTTCCCCAATTCAACAAGATTTTGTTACATTTGTACTCTGATGTAGGCACTAGAGATAGAAAGCCAAACTCCAAGAGCTTACTTACATGTTACTGGAAGGAAGACGGCAGGTACACAGATAAGTGAGTACAAAATGTGCCCTAACTGGGGAAAATCAGGAAGGGCTTCTTATGGAAAATGGCACGTGGGCTGAAAGAGAGCTAGGATTTCTAAAAAGTGGAGGCGGGAAAGAGGCGCATTTGTGGCCTAAGGGAGAGCCACCAAGACAAAGAATCAGGAAGTGGAATGTCATGTATTCCAACAGCTAGTAGGCAAGTTTGGCTGGAATGTAGCATGTGTGAGAAGAACCTATGTGTAATCAGACTGGAAAAACAGGTCGGTGCAGGACTTAAAATCCCAAAGAGGAGAGTTTATATTTTAGCCTCAAGGCAGGAGGAATCTATGGAAGCTTCTTGAACATTGAAGTGGCTTGACCAACACTTAGCATTTAGGTCACTGTGAAAGAACTACTCAGACTTAACCTCTACCCTCCCTACTCAAAGCCCCAAACCTGCAACTGAATAGCTCCTATCATCCCCTCTGCTACCCTCTCCACAAAACTGGAAAGCTGTTTTCTTCCTTTAGGCAGAAGCCTTTGGAAAGCCTGCATTTTAGATTTAGACTAGATTATTTCCTTAAAATTGTAGGTCTACATAGTTCTTTCTCTAATACTTCTCATTTATTAGTATAGCGTTCATATTATTATCCTTATTCTCAAGTAAGACACTTTTTTTTAGTATGTTTATAAATATAGTTTAGGATATTTTAGGAGTATCGGTTTGGCAGCTGGGTGCCAAATGAATTGGGGGAAGGAAGGGCTTAATGCAGGGAAACCAATGAGGCAGCATTTGCAATAATGTAGGCAAGAGGTGGTGAGGGCTGAAATTAAGGTGGTTGTGTTGTGAATTGGAAAGAAGTGGGAGGAGGAAATGCTGTGGGGGACAAACCAATTGAATCAATCAATGGCAATCAATTGACTGGAGGTAGGAATAGAGGGCAGGAAGTAAGAGTGAAGCATCAAAAGCAACTCCTGGATTGCCCCTTTTGCAGAAATAAGGAAGTCAGGAGGAAGATTGGTTTAGGAGAAAAGATAATGAGTTCTGTTCCTCTTTTTCTCATCCTTCTCCCTACTCAAATACTGTTCTTAGAATGGTAAGAGTCTTACTGAACTCTCGCCCAGTATAGTCAAGTTCCTTGAGAACAGGAACTGGGTTTGGTTTGGTCTGGTTTTATTTTTTCCCTTTGTTTATATCCCCAATCCTTACCACAGTGCCTGGCACATAGTAGGAACTTCATAAATGCTAGTTTTCCGACTTACTGCTAGTCCATAAATAAAAGATTAAATATTTGTTCAATGAAAAAATAGTTTGTATTTTATTTTTAAAAGTACTTTTCAGCTTTTTCTTTAAAGATATAGTGTGATGTTCTTCCTTGATAACGAGTTTATTTAGCTTGGGCTTATAAGACCACCAAAACTTTCACATGAAAGGGATTTTTAATTATTTCAGATAAGAGTATTTCAATTGTGTTACTTCAGACAGCAATATTTATTAAACTACCTTTCCTTTGGAGGTCAAGAAACTACCTTAGGACTATTAGACACATTTGCGATTTATTAAACTCTCGAGAAAGAAATAATCAGGGCAGAAGGAAAAGAAGAGGACTGAGTAGAAGAAAACTGAGAAACAAGAAGAGAAGAAAGATAAAATGAGGAGAACTTCTTTACCTGTAATTTCATTGGTTGATCACCATATTTCCCTTACCTCTAACTAAGTGAAAATGCCCTTTCTGGTTCTTGTTTCATAGGCAGTATTCCCCTCACCAGCATGTTAAGAGTGGCTTTCCGTGGTCAATCCCTTAGCTGATTTACAAAACTTAGGGTCCCTCCTCCATGACTTCATGGAATTTTCAAGAGGAAAGAAAAATAATTTGGCAGCTAGCTAATGCCCTCAAATAGAAGCCCACACACCCTTTGTCTGTAATCAAAAGACTTATGAGAAATTGAAAGTTAACTCCTCAGGAGGGGTAGAGAGATTCCAGCTCTTGGACAAAGGAGAATAGATCCATAAGGGCTTGGGCTTCTGATGTCCCTTACCAGGACAGGACTTAGAAGTCACTAAGAAGAAAAAAAAGAAGTTGCTAAAAGAAGAAATTCAGTGGGATTGAGAGCATTTTTGGTAAATGTCATTTTCTTGATAAAAAAAAATTTTATTGTGAAGGCAGCATTCAGAAATTGGCCCATTATTTTAATTTTGTTTACTGACATTTGGAAAGTGATAAATTAGCCTTCTTCTGATGCTTCAGAAGTGGCAGTAATTCTGGATGTCTATGCCAACAAAGCACAAGCTCTGGGAGATCCTACCAAATTAATAATAATGCCAGCTCACAGTTATACAGCACTTTAAGTACTTTACCTACATTATCTCATTTGATACTCACAGCTCTCTGAGGGAGATGCTATCCCCAACACTAGATCATCCTCCAAGAGCCATGGCAATAAAAGGGTGGCCATCAGATGATGACTCTTTGGGCTGCATCATTTGTGAAATCATGTGGAAAGGTCTAACCTATTTATTAGAATGATCTAATAATAATCTTGCCAGCTTATCAAAATCGGGTGAGTAGAAAAAGAATTCATAGGCTACCAGTACATAAAATGCTAAAGTTTAAGTGATAGACTCTGAGACTGGTGCCATCCTGGGCAAGGCAATTGGTGCTTCAGCTTGTTCACCTACAAAATAAAGGAGTCGGATCAGGTGACCTCTGAGGTCTCTTCCAGTTTCAAATCTATGATCTTATGAGCCTTTTAGATGGTTACAAAATTAGTTTTCTTTTGGTTCTCAACAGTGCCCTTCATATAGGCAAGGTTGCTAATAGGTGAGGTTAATAGTGTTTAGCTCATTACTTGAATGTTACTATCAAATGAAGAAAAGAAACTATGAAGTTGTCGATTTTGAAGTGAATAGTCAAGTAAAACCAGGCAGTGGAAAAATAGAAGTGGAATAGGGGAATGTTGTCATTATGGGTTTGGGGGGGGGGTGTCTTTTTTTTAAGCACCACAACATAGGGATAATGACTTCTTTATGCCTTACTGACTACCCCTCCAATCACAGCCTACCCTCAACCTAGGGGAGTACAAGGAAGCTAGAACACTACCGCTTTAGCCATTCCTAACTTTCCATAAAGAATATCATGATTTTTAGCCAACATTTTCAGAGTTAAGAAGGAAATAATTACTAATACAATGTACAGAGAAACCTTTTCAGAAGGTTCAAAATTAAACAAATTAGCATTGATAATAAAAGAACTATATAGAGTCCCCAGTATTCATTTAAAACACAGACTGAAATAAGGAACTTTTGTCAGCTGTGAACCTCCAAGTGCCTGGGAATATTGCAGCTGGCTAGTAGAGGACACCAAGGGTTATACTTTTATAACTTCAAAAACACATTAGGAATTAGTACCCAAGGAAACAGAGAGAGAGAGAGCAAACACCCATTTGCTGTGCATGTTTGACTTCAGAAAGCTTAAGTTTATTAAAGTATCATATTAACTTGTGGTACCTAGAAAAACTGGACTTGTTTCTAGAAAAACAACTGTAGTGTTCAGAATAGTCTGTAGATAAATAATGTCTAGATTTTCACATAAATTTAAACTAATGTTTTTAGTTAGGGTCCAAGTATAATAAGTATTGTTATGATAATGCACATTAGCAAAATTTTTAAATCTCACTGGAGATGTTACAAACTTTAGTTCTACATTGTCAAAACCTCCCCCTTTGACTCCCAAATCTGATATTTGTACAGCTACTGTTTTTATAGCATGGGCTGTTTGATTTAAATAGTAGATTTACAGGGTTGGAAAGGACCCCGTAGAGCCCAAAGTGCAACATCCTCATTTTTACAAATCAGAAAAATGAGTGGCACCTCCCCCCCAAAAAAAATTATGTTCAGAATCATGTGTGAATTTTATTAGCTTTTATGAGTAAATTATATAACATTCAAATTCAAAACCTATCTCATGGTATTGTCTATTGATAGTTTCCATACATCTAGCTTATTAGGCTCAAGTGAGGGTAAAATTCTCATCTGTCTACGTTAGTATACTAGTCTTCCATATTTTTAGTTACTTTTATGAAAATTCTGTTGGGGACTTGAAATATGCTGAATCTTATAAACCTTGAAAGCTAAACGGTTAACTTTGGAACAGTAGAATAATTTCTAAATGTTTCAGATGGTTTTAGTTGGCATATATATGTCTGTTAATGTAATTTAACATTTGAGTGTGAACCATGGTAGATGCTGAACACTTTTGGGAGATGGGGGAGTAGGGTGTTAGAGAAGGTTTCATGGAAGAAGTTGGGAAGAAAGGCAATGAATAGCACATTTCAGAGATGGAGCATGGTGTAAGGGGGTTGGATTAGATAATCTTTGATGTTTATTCCAACTTTAATATTTTGTGTTGATATGCTTCTTTGATATCTGAGAAGACCAAAAATTTGAAATGCAATTATTAAGCCAACAACAGTGAATAATAGCTTTTGTGTCTTCTCTCTCTTTTCTAGGCCTCTATTTTGTTCTTCTGACCTGTTGAGTATAATCAGCTGTTATCCTGAAGCACTTTAATTTCACTATTCTAAGCTGTGGAAAATGGCGGATGTTCTGAATGGTGAACCATATCCTTCCACTCCACAGGAGCTGTTCAAAAGCATAACAGCTCAAGGAGAAATTGTCCGATCATTAAAAGCAGAAAAAGCACCAAAGGTACTTTGGAATTCTTTACCTATTAATCTTAGTTTCTAAAATCAGTTAGTTTCTTTCTAATTGTTCCATTGCTATCCAATGATTGAAATAAGTTGGTGTATGAGTTAGGAATGATTTGCTCCCCTTCAATTAGCTCTGTCAAAACACTAGAATATTACTTAATATGCTAGAAGAGGCCATGGTTTTTTGACTTCCTTTGCCAGTGGCTGCTTATATAGCTACTAAGTTTTTTGTTTTTTGGTTTTTTTAATCTTATTAATTACTTGTAATGAAGAAGGCACTTAGCATCAGGAAGATAAAGACAAACAGTACTTTCCTTCGGGAAGTTTACATTCTGCTAGTGGGAAACAGTGTGTACAATAGAAGGAAGTCAAAGATTATTTGAGAAAGGAGAGTATACAAACACCTGGGGAGATCAGGAAAGGCTTTAGTAAGACGAAGCATTGAAGATAAACCTTGAAGGATAATAAGGGGCCTGAGAGGTGAAATTAATTCAGGAGGCCATTCCAGAAATGAGGACTAGTTTAGGCAATGCACCGAGGCAGGAGAAGGAATGATGAATTTGGGGAAAAACTAGTAAGTCTAGGTTGGCAGGAATGGGGGTGGGAGGCAGTGTGGTGAGTGAAGGTCAATAATGTAAAATAAGACTGGGAGGGTAGATTGTCGAAGACCAAAATACCTTTCTTAGGAATCAGGACTGGACCTGTTATTTCATTAGTATGGGAAATTTCCAGGTGAAGGAAACTCCTATCAGTGCACATCAGCCCCTTTTCTTAGGGGTAACTTAGACTCAGAGAGTTGTCTTTCTTAGAGTGTGGTCCAAGAACCCTTGGGATGTGCTGAAGGTAAAAACTGTTTTCCTAATAATACTAAGATGCTTTCATTTCCAATATGGCAAATATTGATAGATATAACCTATCTAAACAAAAGTTATTTGAGGGTCCTCAATAATTTTTAAGAATGAAAAAGGGTCCTGAGACCAAAATGTTTGAGAACCATTTGCCTAAGCATTGAGAGGTTCACTGACTTTCCCAGAGTCACACAACCCTCATGTATCAGAGTCAAATCCAGGTGGTCCTGACCACTCTAAGGAATTTGTGTTTTAGTCTAGAGGTAATCAGCAGACACTGAAGATTTTCAAAAGGGAAGTGAACAGCCTTTATGTCCACTTCCCCTATTTTTGTGCCATATAAAACTTTCTCTCCTCATTTTGGACTATAAAATGACATCTAATTACTGATCATTTAGCCTCAGACCTTCTCCTCGTCACTACCAGCTATGTCCTCTAAAGGCCTCTATTCAGCTTGTCAAGTGAGGCAAGAGATCTGAACTCGAACCTAAGAATGAATCCCTGGGTTCAGGTGCTGTCTCTGACAGAGTCGGCCAGTAAACATTTATGAAATGATTCCTTTTTACCAGGACCTGTGCTGAGCCCTGGCGATATAAAGAAAGACAAAAAACAGTCCCTGCCCTTAGGTAGTGTACATTCTAATGGGGAAGACAGTTTGTAAATAACTAGGTCCCTGCAAGATATATACAGAGTAATAACCTTAGAAGTTGTGTGACCATGAGCACAGCACTACCTCTCTGAGCTTTCCTCATCTATAAAACGTATGTGATAATACCTGTACTACCTACCTCGCACAGTTGTTATAAAGCTCAACTGAGAAAATGTGTATAAAAAACTTTGCAAACTTTAAAGCTCTATATAAATACCTGCTGGTATTATTAATAGTAATAGTGACAATAATGAGCAACAGTAATGCACAGAAGGAGGTATGGTGTATGGAGAATTGACCTCAGAGCCAAGAAGCCCTGGGTTCAAGTTCTTCCTCTGACATAGACTGGCTTTGTGACCCTGGGCAAGCCACTTGACTTCTCAGTACAGGTGTCACCTTACATTGGTAGACAGAATTCTATACTAGGAGCTCATACATGACTGAAATCACAGGTGTATCCCTGATCCCTATCCCTGATGCTGTTATTGTGAAAAAAAGGCATCATCAGTGGAGCACTAACTGTGGCAAGTCCTACATACCTGGAAGGGCAGCCAGTGGGGGCCTGTTGTGGACTTCATGTCCAGTGACACTAGGGACCAGCTAGACTAGACTCAGATTGCTTCTCGCCGCAGAGAACATCTGCTGGGGTGGAGTCTCTTCTCTGTATGTGCATCCTCAATGTCCAACATAAGAGAGGCCTTTCATGTAGTAGGAAGGATCTAATAAATGCTTGTTGAATTGAATTAGGAAAATAGATTTTCTTTTCTGTCCTTTGTTTCCATAGGATGGAAAGGCTTTGCTAAATTCTGAGTCTTCAAAGTAAGGAGAGAGCCAGCCTTGGAGTCAGGAAGACCTAGGTTCAAGTCCTACCTCTGACACCTACTAGCTATGTTACTTTGGGCAATTCACTTCACTTCTATGCACCCCAGGCCTCTTGGTAATTAAGAATCCAAGTTGCCAATGCTCATTGGTAGAAGGAGTTTCTAAACCAGAAGTTCCCCACAACAATGGGATCCAGACTAAAATAAGATAGAGGCACAACTGTGAAAGACACAAACATGTCCAGATTTGGACTTTTTTTTTTTAAACATTTGGGTATCTTTGCAGTGCTATTTTTCGACTGTTTTGCTACCCTGTCCCACAAATGAAACATGATCAATGTTAATAAATGTTCTTGGTTTATAAATGTCAGTGAATATGTTTTGATAACATTAATGTCTACAGATGATGCTGAATGCTCTGCAGCACAGTATATACTAGCTTTACACAGTCAACTCTTTATTAAACACATATAGAGAAGCAGACTTTTTGGTGAAATACCATTTGTATTTGACTTAGGGATGTATGTTGATATGAGATGCATCTGATGTTCTGTGAATTAATTTCAGATAAAATGAAGCCAGCTGGGAAGACCTGACTCAGGGAGCCATTTTACTACCATTTTCAACAATTACTAAATCCTGTTTAAGATGGAAATAAGCAACTTTTTACTTTTTCTCAAATTTTCTCTTCTCTCTCTCTCACTCTCTCTCTATCTCCCCACTCTCTCTTCTCTCTTTCTCTCCCGCCCCTCAAACTGTCTTGTCAAACCAGCCTTCTTGCCAGCCTTCTTCAATAGCAATACTGGCTAAGTCTTTAACTTTCTTTTGGAGAATGAAATGTCAACAAGCCTCATAATTAAGTGGAGTTCTATGTATCTGTATATTTAAAAACAAGACAATCTGCCCACAGATAATTGAGGCAATTTAGGATAGTTATTATAAGAACTTATCTTATTATAAGATAGTTATTTTAAGATAAGTTATTATAAGTTATTATAAGAAGAATGATTCAGAATGGACTAATCATGTCAATTTTAGCTTTAGAAATAAAAATGAGTATTTAGGTAGGCACTATAGTGTAGTTTGGATGGTGTAACTATATTCAACCAAACTATTAGGACAGTTATTTATCTAATTAGAAAAGGTGCCACTCTTAAAATATCTACATGGACCTCAGTTCATAAAATGAGAGGTGGGGCTAAATGATTTCTTAAGGTCTCTTCCAGTTCTAACATTCTAAAATTCCATATCATTGCATTCCTCTAAAAATAGTCCAAAGTTAAAAGAATATTATGTATTTGAACAAGAAAATTTATCCTTTGGGGTAGAAGGAAACTAGGCTATGTGTATTTTTCTTTTTGTAATCTATGACCTAATCTCTCAAGACCAATTATTTAAGTGTAGCTTTACAGGCTGAGTAATAAATTGGACCTATCTCTTTCCAAAGGCAATAATGTGATTTCCTAAGAAAAAAATTATAATTGATTTCCAGGGTCTACATGAGTACATTTAACTTGTCTAAGGCTGAGGACCCATCATTAACTTTGAACTGATCATTGTTCACAACATAAGGACCTGAACTTTTTCTGGTCTTTATGAATTTTAATAGTACTTGTGTGTTGCTATTTTTTGGTGGTTATTATGGGAGAAATTACCATAATTCTATATCTCTACCACTTAGATTATTGGCACGTATTTTCAGCAGCTACATGAAGGCATACTTTGCCACATTGCTTTGCCTGAACCAGTGACTTTTTGCAAGACTCTCATTAATCCATTAGCAACACACACACACACACACACACACACACACACACACACACACACACACGCCTCTTCCCCCCATCAGAATGTCAGCATCAGCCCAAAACACAAGTTGGAGAATTATCAGTGAGTTCAGCCAGAACTTGAACCCCAGCTGTATTAACTATCGTGTCAGTCAGTCACCTTGCTGTCCCATTTGTAACATTTCTAATGTTCGTAAATCAGTAATGCCCCAGTAATCAGGATATGCTATGGTTTGTTGCTTGTGGTCCATTGTATTCAATTCATAGCACACAGTAGATTTTTTTTTTAATTTAACAAGCTTTTATTAAACACTATTTGTAGGACACTGTTTTAGGTACAAGGAGTGATATAAGCCCATTCCCTCAAGGATCTCACAGTCTAGTAGGAGTAGGTGGCACATTCATAAATCAGAATCAAATCCTAAATCAAAATAACACATTTTTAGTGTATTTGAGAGATGCAGAGTTCTATGTGAGGTCAGAGGAAAGAAGGTTGTTACCCACTTGGGGGAGCAGAAAAACCTGATATTGAGCAGATTGGACTTTAAAATGAGAATTCAGCAGGTAGAGATAGGGAGGGAAGAATGATTAGAGACAAGAATAAAGAAAGGCAGGTGAGTTCAAGTCATGTTCTGGGAACCATGAGTCCAGATTGACCAGAGCAAACATCAGAGGAGATAGAATGTAGACTCAAAAATCCCAGGATGTAAGTAATTTCTAATAGTATTTCACAGAATAAGCAATGAGTTCAGTTGTTCCAGAATTGGTCACCCTCTTTAATGATTATAGACTATAAACAATCTGTCTAGCAGATGAGATAAAAAATATGCACTCATAATATTAATACCAGTTGAGATCAATAACAGAAAATTAGATGCTTAGGCCATATCTTTATAGAAGGCAATGATATTTTTACAGCAGCAGATACAAAAGATCATTTTCTTTTTCCTCTCTATTTTCTCCTCAAAATTGACAGAGCTGCCTCTGTACATCAACAATAGTTCAAATGAAATAGCAAGAAAACCATCATGATGCATTTGGAGCAGAAGAAGCAAACAAATTACAATTTATGCTGATGGTTTTTCCAACACAGAAATTAATGGGAACCTATTAAGGAAATTGATTGTGAACTTCCTTAGTAGTCAGCAGGTTTTGAAATGTCTGCAAATCATTAACACTGCCCTGAATGTCTTAAAGTTCCTTTGCCCCGATGATGGTTGGCGTATCATTGTGCCACTGATAAAATATATTGCAGCATAGATGTCAACTCTCCTTTGTAAAATAGATACTTTCAGTAAGGTTCTAGGATTCATAGTCTCCTGAAATAATTCCCATTTTAATGTCCATGTTGATCACACTGATTACTGAGTGTTTCCCTTCATTTGTTTTTTTGTTTGTTTGGTTTGTTTTGTTTTTTTGGTTAGGCATTGGGGTTAAGTGACTTGCCCAGGATCACATAGCTAGTAAGTGTTATATATCTGACACCAGATTTAAACTCAGGTCCTCCTGAATCCAGGGCTGGTGCTTTATCCACTACGCCACCTAGCTGCCCCCCTTCATTTGTTAGACTTGCGGGAGAGCGTGAACTGAAGAAATGTGGGCCAGGCGAGTCAGCAAAGACTGAACCGTTTATTCATCTGAGGGTCACAGCATATATAGGAAAAGGGTTTGGAACTACAAAGGATCCCTTATGTGGGAAAACTATGCATATTCTGTAACTATTGTTGATTAGGCTTTCAAGATTTAGAGCTAAAAGCTAGAGGTAAAAGATGCCTTCAGGACATCCATCAAAGGTGCATGCAATAAAAGTGTCAAGAGAAAAGGATTACATTATTTTAAACAAATGGTTACAAGATAGAGATTAACAGTTAATTAACAGGCCTTGACAATCATTCTCAGGGCTTTCTCAGGTTCTTATCTCAAAGTATGAGACTAGTCCTCCCTAGTTTGCCACATGTTATCCCTCAAGCCAGATTTTTATAGTGTCACGGTCGGGCAGTTCCAGGAGCCCGTTAATGAATAGGAGAGTGGTGAGCCAACATCCTGATAAAGTGAGTCCTTGAAGGCAAGAACAGGCAGGAATTAAATTCCAATCTGAATTCTTTAACCCTATGCTGGACTGATCAGAGCTGGCCCTCCACACTTGCAAAAACAATTCCACCCTTCATTATTACTTATTAAATTAGACTTGAATCCAATTCAGCTAACTGTTTATTTAACACCTACCACTAGGATAGCTACATGGTACAGTAGATATAGCACCAAGCCTGGAGTCAGGAAGATCTGAATTCAAATCCAGCTTCAGACACTTACTAGCTATGTGACCCTGGGCAAGTCACTTAAATCCTATTTGCCTCAGTTCTTGATCTGTCAAATGGGCACATGCTCAAGAAGGAAATGGCAAACTCTCCAGTATCTTTACCAAGAACACCCCACAGACTTAACCATGGGGTCATAAAGAGTCGGACATGACTGAAAAACAACAACCACTAGGTCCTTTAAGGCAGATAGGAAATACAGACAAAATCCAGGCCTTACCTTTAAGTTTCTGACAGTTGAGTAGAATAAGACACATACACAAATAATTATTAGACAAAATAACAATTTAAGTGTGTAAGAGAAATCTAAGCAAAGTACCACATAAGGTCCAAGGGGGAAAAGTTTATTATTAACTATGGATATTTGGCCTTAGATAACTGTGTGACCCTGGACGAATCACTTAACCACTGTCTGTCTCAGTTTCCTCGGTTGTAAATAGGGATAATAATAGTATCTGCCTCTCAGTGTTGTTGTGAGGACAAAATGAGATACATTTTGCAAAGTGCTTTGCTAACCTTAAAGTGTTGTATAAATGCCAGCTATTATTATCATTACTATTATTATTATATGGGCAGGCTTTCTGGAGAAAGTGGCACTTGAGTTAGACTGGAAAGAATGGGTAGGAATTCCACAATGAGAGATGCAGCGCCCAGCCTTCCTGATCAAGAACTTGAGCAAAGACAGGCAAGAATGCATAGGCCAGGTTCCAAGGACAGCATCAGAGAAGGTTACAAAGAATGTCACTATTAAGAAAACATTATTAAGTGTTCATCTCTATGCTAGGTTCTGGGGGAGATGAAAGAATGAAGATTTAGTTCCTTGCTCACTTGACTTCCACCCATGCTAGAAGAGGCTTTCTTTATGGAGGACATGTTCACAATTAAAATGTTATTGTTTTTTGTTTTTGTTTTTTTATTTCTTTTTTTCAGGATGAAATTGATTCTGCTGTAAAACAATTATTGTCACTAAAAATAAACTACAAAGAAGTGACAGGACAGGATTATAATGCCGATTCTCCTCCCACAAACTCCAGACCTAACAACAGCGGGGAGCCTGGGACCACTGAAGGCGAAGAGGATTTTGTAGATCCTTGGACTGTGCAGACCAGCAGCGCCAAAGGCATCGACTATGACAAGCTCATAGGTACCCCACTGTGCTTCCTCTGGCCCCACCCCACCTCCTTCCCTTTTTTGCCTATTTCAAAAGTACAAATGTTTTTGTTTTTTAAGTTAAGTTCCTAAAATTGTTTCAAACTCACAAAGATAATTATCAAATTCTGGTAGTCTAGGAGACTGAGGAAATGGGCCAAATTGCCTTAAGTTACCACCTCTTTTTTTTTTTTTTTTTTTTGGTGACAAAGTTGGGGTTAAGTGACTTTGCCCAGAGTCACAGTTAGTGAGTGTTATGTGACTGAGGTCGGATTTGAACTTGGGTCCTCCTGACTCCAGGGCCAGTACTCTATTCACTGCACCACCTAGCTGCCCTTGTTATTCAGTCTTAAGTTACCACCTCTTCTGTTAGGTCAGCTAGGCATTGAGACGTTCCTATTTCAAAGCTAAAATAATAATAGAGCATATTTTCATAGTACTTTAAGGTTTATTTACAAAGCATTTTCTTCACTACAGCCCTAGATGGTAGTTAGTACTAGTGTTATGTCCATTTTGCTGGGAAAGAAAATAAGCATTTGTATAGGGCCTAAGATGTGCCAGGCACTGTGCTAAGTGCTTTTATTAATATTATCTCATTTGATCCTCACAACATCCCTAGGAAATAGGTATTACTATTATCCTCAATTTACAGTTGAGAAAACTGAGGCAAACAGAGGTTAAGTGATTAGCCCAGGGTCACCCAGCTAAGAAGTGTCTGAGGTCAGATTTGAACTAGGGTCTTCCTGAGCTTAGCACTCTTATCCTCTGAGCCTCCAGCTTGCCTAAAAGGAAACTTGAGAATCAGAGAGAGTCCACTGTCACACAGCGAGTAAGTGGCAAAGTTACAGGTTTGAACTCAAGTATACAGGTTGAGCTTTCTTTCCCTCTGTGCCAATTAGGATACAGCCTCCACAGGTCCTGCTTAACCCAGAGGCCTCAGGGACCAGGCCAGCCAGAAACAGCAACAATTTGTTCTCATCAGCCCAGGATTGGGTACAGAGGGTGAATTATTTGGGGTTTGTTGGAGTTTTTTTGGTTTTTGGGGGTTTTTTTAACCAAAGCAGATTACCAAGCCTTCTACTTAGGTGTGGAAGGGCTGTTTTATTCATTCATTTATTCATTCATTCACTGGAAGAGGAAGCATTCATTCGGATGAAGTATCTTGTGTCCCTGAAGTATTGAGAAAAGTCTGAAATACCAAATGAACAATCAACAATTGGCAGTCTAGATGTGTGAATTCACCCGAGCAGTTCTGAGTTTGGACAAAGAGGGATTATTTTTAGTGTACCATGCCAGCAGTTTTCCCTTTTCCTTCATTTCTCAGAAGCAGAGTGGTGTGTCATCTCACCTCTCTGTGTCTCTCATCCTATGGAAACGAAGCTACAGTAGATCTGCCTCACCAGAGACTGGAGAGAAGCGAGGTAGGAAAGAGACTGACCCACAGACACAGTTGTAGCCACTTTCTGGAGCTCCTCACATGAGAGTTGGAGAGCAATCAAAGAAAACCTTTTATCTTTCAGAAAAGAAGGGACCACTCTGGGACAACTAATGAGCTTTACCTTTGTCATTCTTCTCTAAGCCTCAGTTTTCTCATTTGTAAAATCAAAGGTAATACTACTTGTGCTATCTTTGTCACAAGAGCTTTTGTGAGGATCACACAAGATGAAGAAGTTACAAATTTTGTGAACTGTTTACCTCTATAGCTGTTTTTATTTTTTCTATTTTACTACTTGATTCTAAACAATATTCTTATCAGTGAGACCCAAGCCACTTACTAAAAGACAGTCCTTTTTTCGAGGTAGAGAAAAGTGATCTAAACCTCCAACAGGCAGACAGCCCACTTACTGTTAATTGCTGACGGCAGGAGGTTTCGGTGGAATCAGGTTGTAGGAGAATAGGGAAGTCCTGGTCCTGACCTTTATGGAACCCAGAGTCTAACAACCCATATTTTACCTTCCTAGCCTTATTTTGTTACTGTCTTTCACTCAGTCTGCATTTCTACCAAACTCATAGACCCCAGTCTCATCTTGCTCTCCCCCACCTCCATGCATTTGTACCCATTGTACTACCTAGAATTCCCAGCTTCTCTCCCTAGGAAGAGAATATTTCTCATTCTAACTTATATTATGGTTATTCGGGTTACTTATTCAGATTCCTCATTCTATGATTCATCCCCTAACAAAATTGCAAGTTTCTTGAAGTTAGGGATAGTATTATTTTTAATCTTGCTGTCAATAGTACCTTTCACATAATGTAAATCAAGTTGAATTGACTTAATTTGATTTCTAGGCACAATGCCAGCTAAAAAAGCTGTATCTATTTGTCTTAGTAGTTTTTCTGCTTTTTCTTTTTTTAGTTCGATTCGGAAGCAGCAAAATTGACAAAACACTGATAGATCGAATTGAGAGGGTCATAGGACAAAAACCACATCATTTCCTGCGTAGAGGCATCTTTTTCTCTCACAGGTGAAATTTTATTTTCCCATGCACCTCTTCATCCTGCCTGTTCTGTCCTACAGAAGGACAAGCACATAAAATATGTGTCATTGCCCACATTTAGCATTTCCCATATAACTAACCTTTGTATGGTCTTTTTCCTGTTCTGTGACTTAGCTATGGAGAAAAAAGGGAACAGAAATTCCATGAAGCTAACACAAGGAAAAAGGAAGCATTTTGATTACAGTGGCTTAAGTGATACTAATTTAAAGATTATGTTTCACCCAATATGCTACTATGATAGAATCAGCAAAACTCCACTTTAAAATCCCAAAATTCCTATGTAAGGAGGGAATTTTTTATGAAGACAGTGTGGTGTATTCAGAAATCATGCTGAGCCAGAATTTGAGTCTAGATAACAATGTTACTTCTCAGTCCTATAATCTCACCATTATATGGTAAGTATAGTATAATTTTTTAAACATATTGAACCAGATCACTAGAGGGCCATAAACTGTAGTGTAACACAAATCTATCAGAGGTCATAAGCCCCAGGTCACCAAAGAGACCAGGAGACCTTCACTGACAGGAACTTTAGAGATAGGAACTTGTTTAGACCTTGTCCCATATGTGGAATAATTCCTGGGTGTGCCTTATTCCCATCACCTTGGAATAAGGCTATAGAACTGGCAACAACTGTGAGTTTTGTCTGGCCATATGAAACCAGCTACCTGGTATTTACCAATCCAAATACCTAGCCAGAGTGCCCTACCACCTCCATATCTACTACCCTAGTATTTGAATTGACAAGCCACCACCATATTAATGCTGTATTCAGTCATCATGGGACTCTCTAGGGTAGAACCTTCATCATCTGATTCTTTCCCCATCCTATGATTTAAACTCATAGTCAGTGCTTCACTTGTGCCTATGATTCATAATCCCAACCAACAATCCCAACAGTGTTGTCTTACAAAAGGCCTATTCTGATGCCTCATCATGGTATGGAGATGACCCAGGGTTCTCAGTGACACTATCAGAGTTTCAGCTCTGATATATTCTCCCAGGCTAGAAAGGCTTAGACTACAGACCCAGCCATAGATGGTGTTGTGTCTTGCCCAAGGAACAGCCTAGCTTAACTTAGAGAAGCTCATCATCAAATTGACCTGAAGGTGATGAATTTTTCCAACAAAAATTACTAAGCAATTAGAGTGATTTCAACTTATATAGTTGAAAAGAATACCCATACTCACAGTCCTAGATCCTTGAAGCATTAAAGTGTAGTGATTTATATATGTGGTATTTCTCCCTACTAAACTATAAATTCCTAGTTGCACGTTAGATGCACATTAAAAGTTTATTGGATTTGAATTCTAAATGAAGACAGTGTTTAGTCTGATTTGAAACATATAAAGAACTAATGCTCTTAAAAAATGTCAGTTGTATTGCTTACTTCACCTTTTAGAATGATTAAAAACTGTCTTAAATCATTCTTTTTAAAAATCCAATTAGAAAGGAAGCAATTTAATTAGAAACTATGACATTCATTTATATGCCTGATTTTTCACTTTCAGATACAAATTTGTTTACTTGCCTTCCTCTGATATTTTTTCCAAGAAAGTCATACTGTTTCCTCTATTCTCTTCTCACTTAGGGACATGAACAACATTCTTGACGCATACGAAAATAAGAAGCCATTCTATCTTTATACAGGCAGAGGGCCCTCTTCTGAAGCAATGCATGTAGGTCATCTCATCCCATTTATTTTCACAAAGTAAGTAGCACCATCTTCTAGATATTTTTTATTATCTCTATTATACTTCTTTATTATAGTTAATATATTTATTGTTATCTAATAATATAAATGATAATTATATATTTTATTGTAATTTTAATTATTAAGTTCAAACAGTATTTGAAATATATGTGTGACAGTATTATTTTTGTAAACTCACCTGGCAACCAAATTGTTAGGTACTTAGAAATATAGAATCAAAAAGTTGGATGAAACCCAGAATCTTAGAGATGGGAAGGACACAAGAATCATGAAACCATATGAAGTCTAAGTTGGATAGCACCTCAGAATCATAGAATGGGAATTAAAGTGAACCTTAAAGAACATCTAGATTAACTCTTACTTGAAGCATGAATCTATTCAACAGCATCTCCCAAAATGGTCATCCTGCTGCACTGCTTGAATATTTTCCTGGGCTTGTTTTAAATAAAGAAATGAATGTCTTTGTGATCAGTCTTAAGATAAAGGTTGTACAGCTCACAGGGGAAGTGCAGAATAATTTGGAGGTAAAGCAATCTTAATGCTTTGAATTAATGCAAAGTCTGAATTAGACTATTCACTGGAAAGTCAAATGCTGAAACTAAAGCTTAAATACTCTGGCCACATAATGAGAAGACAGGACTCAGTGGAAAAGACTGATGTTAGGAAAGATTGAAGGCAAAAAGAAAAGGGGACAGCAGAGGATGAGATGCATAAATAGTGTCATGGAAACAACAAACGTGAGCTTGGCCAGACTTCAGGAGGATAGAAGGTCCTGGTGTGCTGTGGTCCATGACATCACGAAGAGTCAGACCAACTGAACAAAACTATGTTAAGATACTGTTTGGTAGAGAAGGATAGTAATGATTTGGGGTCTATATTTTTCAGGTGGCTGCAAGATGTATTCAATGTTCCCCTGGTTATCCAGATGACTGATGATGAAAAATACCTCTGGAAAGAGCTAACACTTGAGCAAGCATATGGCTATACAATAGAAAATGCAAAGGATATCATTGCCTGTGGTTTTGATATAAATAAAACTTTCATCTTCTCTGACCTGGAATACATGGGGTAAGTATAAAACATTTCACTATCTTTTTGATACCTACACAGTCCAACAGTTTACTCAGGGGTAAATGTACCCATATTCAAAACATTCAAGGCAACTTACTAGAGTCCAAAGACCTGGGTTTGAGTCCTGGCTTTGGTCCTTACTGACTTTGTAGCCCTTGACAAGTCCCTTCACTTCTGTGAGCCTTCTGCCTCACAGGGATCTTCTGGGGACAGTGCTTTGTAAAAACACCAGAAACAGGAGCTCTCACTATTGTTATTACTAGTGCTCTCTTATAAAGGAATCTTATGTTGGAACTAAAATTAGAGCTTTTCATTTCGAAGACACTAGAAAGATTTAGAAAACTAAAGCCTATATTTCTGGAATACTTCTTCACCTTATTTAAAACGTGTGCTCTTTTCTTTCCTTTTTTTGATATTTGACTACAAATCTCCATTCTTTAAAATTCTGTCATAACAAATCAGTCCCTTTTTGCTGGTTTTTATTTTTAAATAGGCAAAGTCTCATTTTAACAAAGTTTGGAGAACATCTAAGTAGCTTTTAATAGAGAGAAATTTTGTTATAAACATCATTCCAGTAATCCAGGACAATCACGTCCAGGGGGGAAAAAGGGCCCAGACTCTATGTAAAGAAGTAAGAAATCTTCAGGATTCAGTAAGAGAAAGCAGATAGTTTCAGGTACATAGATGATTCCTCCCTCTTTTCTCCTTATTTTCCTAGATCCACATTGGGGATTCAAGTGGATTTTTCAGTTGGAAATAATTGGCTCTGAATTTAGAATCTGTGGTCCTGGGTCTGAATCTCAGCATGGCTATTTACTACCTATGTGACTATGGGCAAATCACACAGTTTTTTCATCTGTAAAATGAAGAGAAGTTAACATCAAACCAAATGATGTTTGAGGTCCCTTCTGGCTTTCACCTGTGATCCTATGAGAAAAGGTTTGCCCAGGTTTGCACAGCTAGTAAGAGCCGAGCCATTTGTTGGGGTAATGAGCTTAGTTGAATTTGTTTCTTTAATTTACTCAGTTTTTTGTGAGTCTTAGGAGGAAAAAGGCTATGAGGGAATGTGGTACAATAGAGAGAGGGCTGGGTTTGAAGTTGGTCTTGGATTCAGATCTTGGCTCTGCCACTTAATACTTGGATAATAAGTCACTTAATCTCTCTGAGCCTGAGGAAACCTCAGTTTCCTTGTCTGTATAAAGAGCAGGTTGGACTTGATTACCAAGAAAGCCCTTTCCAGTTCTAAATCTCTGGTCCTTCCTGTTAAGAGAACAATTCAAGCTGTATTATTGAATGTCTGCTCTGCACGTGTTTAGGTACTGAGTGAGGATGGCAGTAGATGCATGAAGACTGAGAAGCAACTCAATACTGGTGTGATATGGTACAAAGAATACTAAGTTACAAGTCTGGAGGCCAGGGTACTTGCCTGGCTCTGCCCACATGTGCCTGTATATTTGACTTGTGCCTCATCATTTCCCCTGCTGGGCCCCAGTGTACTTATATGTAAAATGAACAGTTTGGACCAAATTATCTCTCTCTCAGGTCTTTTCCAGCTTTCTTTTCTCTCTCCCTATCAAGCAGCACAAATGTATAATCAGTCATGTTCATTATGAAAAGTAACTGTTAACTTGACAGAACAAAGGAAGGATTTGTTATACGGTGTGTAAAATGTAATACTCTCACCAGGCACTGATTGAATTTCAGTTCAGCAGCCATTTATTGATCTGCTGCATGAGGCCCTGTGCTTAGCATTGAGATTACAAATATAGATTCAACTCTTTTTCAAGTCTAATATAGGAAAACACACATAGACAAATAACTGTGATACCAGGAAGAATGAGGTAAGGCCCAAGTAAAGTACTAGGAGAAGCCTGGGGGAGAGAGAGAGCTTTGCAAAGAGCGCTAGATTCTGGGGTCACAAGACCAGGGCCTGGATCCTGGTTTTCCTACCTATTGCCCCATGTGACTTTGAATAATTCATGGCCCCTCTCGAGCTCTCCATCTTTTCCCTACCTACAAAATGAGGGCATTATGTTAGGTTCCCTCAAAGGTCTCTTCCAACCCTAACTCCTATGATCTTAGGAACTTTCCTCTAGTGATTATTCATGTTATTCATGAATACTCCCACTTTCCCTTCAATATTCCAAAAGGCATGGCAGGAATGACCCCAACCTTGAGAAGGTGTTAGGAACATAGGCGTGCAGTGTTCCTCCTCAGCCTGTGCAGGTGGTTCTCAGGACAGCTGTTGGCGGGATCCCCTTCCCCATTCCCATAGAAATGGGGCACCATATGGAGGCTTACTTTTTCAATAAGAAAGGAGAGCCAGCAATTTTTTAGCTTGTTGCAAAGCTCTTGGTCTTTTTAAGAATTGTGCTAATTGAGTGTCAAAAATTCTGTTTGTTTCCCTTTAGTATTTTTTCATCTCTTTTGGACAGGTTTCCCTCTTTGGTCTTCAGGTTCCTCATCTGTAGAAGGGCAGGGGTTATAATAAATGACCCTAACATCCTGTCTAGCTCTAAAATTCTATGATTCCAAAGCCCCTTCCAGGACTGACAGTCCAGGTTCCATGACTTTTCTTCCCATAGTGACCTTAGACGTTTCCCAGGGATTTTAAATGTTTCTAAACTAAAGTACTTTTGTTTAGGAAAAGTAGGACAGTGTAATGAATGTCTATCACACCTATGCATTCTCATCCTTCCTGCCACCATCCTAGATCAGGCTCTAGTATATCACACTCTGTCTATAAGAATAGTTAAAAATGAATACTTACATTGTGCTTTAGAATTTACAAAATGTTTTTCGTAATTGATGATGAAGCATAGCACTAACCTCTTATTAGAGAGATGAAGTATCTGAGTTATAGAATGAGACATGCGTTTTCAGTCTTGGCCAGAATGTTCTTTGTTATGCTTGACTATGCTCATTGGTACCAGGAGGGGGCTTTCAGGAAATGAGGGGTGGAGGGTGAGTGGTGTTAGAGGGTAGAGATAGAAATGCAAGAAAGAGGAGCAGTGAGAGAGAACATCAGCATAACATTTTTAAAAACATAGAAGGAAACACAAATAGGGACATTTTGTTAAATTTGACTTATACTTCAAAACTATTCAACAAGTTCTTAGTTTCGTATATAAATCAGTCCCCTTTTGTTGGTCTTTGTATATTGAAATATTTCTATTTGGTAATGATTGAGTTTATAATTTAAGAAAAAAAAAAATTAGTACTTTTCTCACAAGGACCTTGAAAGGCAGGGAGTTTAGGCATTGTGATCCATGTGTTGCCAATGAAAAACCTAAAGTCACAGAGTTGGTAAATTTCAAAGTCTGTCAGCAGTCAAAAAGCAGATATTAAATGTTTAACTCTGTGTGCTGAGTGCTGGGAGCACAAAGAAAGACAAAAACGAGCCCCAGTGCTCACATTTTAATCAGAAAAATAACATGCAGATACCCAGATATACATAAGATATGTACAGAGTAGGTGAAGGTCATCTGAATGAAGCCCCAGTAGCTTGGGGGGGGGGGGGGAATTCCTGCAGAGGGTGATGTGTGAGCTGAGTCCTGAAGGAGGGAGATGCAGAGGCTTCTGAGGGGAGTGAGAGCAGGAGGGCCAGCTGATGCTGAGGCACAGAAATAGAAGATCCTGTGCAAGGAAGGACCAACTGGATCATAAAGTATATAGAGAATGAATAAAGTGGAAAGACACTGAGAAGGGGACAGACTGGGACTGTAAGTATGAGAGGTAATAGGGAGCCAGGAGATCAGGGGGTTTTAACCTTGTTGGTGTCAGGGACCCCATGGGCAGTGTGGGAAAGCCAATGGACCCATTCTCACAGGAATGTTTTTAAATGTAGAAAATAAAATGCAGAGGCTGACAAAAGGAAACCTGTTCTAATGAAATACAGGGATCAAAATATTTTTTAAACAACAGATTCAAAGATCCCAGGTTAAGAACCACTCCACTGTACTTTATTGAGCTGGGTGGAGTGCCACGGGGAGTGCTACTTGTCAGGAAAATCACTTTGGCAGCTGAGTGGAGGATAGTTTGGAGTAGAGTGAAACTCAAACTTGTTATCTGACTACCCATCCTATAGTCTCTCCACTTTTCTTTCTTTTATAATAGCCTTTTAAAAGGTACTCCTACCTCCAAACTCTCCCCTTACATGTCATCTTATACATGCTGTCAAATTAATCTTAAAACACAGCTCTGCTTTTATCATTCCCCCTACTCAAAAAGTGTGCATAACTGCCCAGTCTCTAAGGCAGATAGGGAACTTAGTGAATAGAGCACTAATCCTGGAGTCAGGAAGACCTCAGTTCAAATCTGACCTTGGACACTTACCTGTGTGACCCTGGGCAAGTCAGTTAACCCTGTTTGCCTCAGTTTCCTCAACTATAAAATCAGGATAATAACAGCATTTACCTCACAGGATTGTAGTGGCAATCAAATGAGATAATATTTCTAAAGCACTTAGCACAATGCCTGGCACTTAGTAGATGCTATATAATATTTATTCCCTTCTCTTTCTCTTTCTCTTTCTCTTTTCCTACCACATAAAATTCAAACTCCTTAGCTTGACATTTAAGGTCCTCTGGGCTTCTAACCTATCTTTCTACTCTTCTTCCTGTACTCGGTGCTTCAGTGAAACTGAATTATTTACATACCCAAAACTTCTTTGTTGTTGTTGTTCCTATGCCTATACACAGGTTTATCTCTCCTTTTTCTTCTCTTCCCTTTAACTATCCTGATGGAAACTCCATCCTTCCTTCAAGGCCAGTATCAAATATCACTTCCTCCATTAAGCATTCCCTGATCACGCAATCAAAAGTGATCTCTCCCTACTCTGAATTTCTATAATACTTTGTTTTTGCCACTCAGATTATAATACCTTACATTTATATAGCACTTTCTCATTTTAGGCCCAGAACAACCAGTTGAGGCACAAGTATTATACGTTATTTCATCCCAATTTTATAAATGAGAAAACCGAGGAGGGTCAGGAAGGTTAAGTTGAGTTAGCTATGGTTGCACCATTTCCAAGAATCAGAGGTGAGATTTAAACCAGGCCTTCCTAACTTAAAGTACTATATTCTTTCCCCTTTGCCATGACACTCACATACTGAAATACTGTTTTCCAGGTTTGCCTTATTTACCCTGACAAGACCATAAATCCCTTGAGGTGGGGAATACATCACAGATGTCACGCAACCATTGATTGCCTTCTTCATCTGTCTTTCCCCTATAGCACATAGCACAGGCCCTTGCTCAAGGCATTCAAAAAAAGATTTCTTAAATGAATATAGTATGAAATTCTTTATTAAAGAAAACCCAGTTCTGTCTTAGAATGATTTCAATACCTATCACTAATGTTAAAAAAAAAAGAGGAGATAATCATCCCCCTTTCTTAATTAAAAACTCCCATGATTCTTCCACACTTGAGGCACCATCAATACACTCACCTTTGGATGAGGCTTTATTATTTGTATAATATAAATCTCTCTCACTTATTGGTTGTCTGAATTTAAGGTGCATCCTTTTACTGTTTGTTCATTACAGTGTATGAATCATTGTTATCTGTCCCCCTGTATATCAGTTTTGAAAGGAAAAGGTCAGTGCCTGATTAATGAGTTTAAGGATTTAATTATTAATAAATACCCATGAAGATGCATGATTTTTTTTTAATGATGAAGAACGTAATTTTTTTTTATGTTAATTAAACTCATAGACTTGTAGAATTTAGGGTGGAAGTGACCTTAGAGTTCATCAAATACAATATACCCCCTTCACTTCCAGGAGCAGTAAATGACAAAACTGGTATTGGAATCTCTCCACTTTACCAAACTGCTCACAGTTTGGCAGTGCTGGGGCACAAAAGCTTCATAGGAGTCATGATTTTATATGTGCAGGTGCTCCTTCCATCAAAACAGATTCCACCTCTTGTATGCCTTAATAGACCATGTACATGAGTTTCTGTGACCCTCTCTACCTCTCCCCTCCCCCAAAAAAATTTCTTACCACCTGATGTCCAACCTTCTCATGAATAGCCTTGCTGAACTTAACTCAAACAGTCTCAAGATAATAAATATGCAGTCAGTTGCTGGACCCATATGCACAGTCTTTCCAACTTTATGAGACCTGCCAGAGTCACGGTTCTTCTGGCATAGATTTCAAGAGCCTAAAGTCCCCTCCAAGCTGTGACAAAGCACGAGAGGAGGATTTGAGTTGAGGTGACCTCTGCATCTGACAGAATCAGTCAGCTATGTGTCTCACATAATCACTATACAAGCCCCAAAGTGATCTACGGTCAAACTTCATGTTTGCTTCTAGTTGATGCTACTTAGATATCAATTTCTCATCCTGAGCAACTCCAAGATCAGAATTTTATTTTTCACTCTTCTTTGCAGGTCGAGTCCAGGTTTCTACAAGAATGTGGTCAAAATCCAAAAGCATGTCACCTTTAATCAAGTAAAGGGCATCTTTGGCTTCACTGACAGTGATTGCATTGGTAAGATCAAATTCAGCTGTTCTAGAATCATCTATTTTTAGGTGAAAGATAATCTAATTATGTAAACCAGCTATATTCTATACTAAGTGTGGACACATCAGGGGAACACTAGAATAGCAGCTTAAAACAACAAAATAATGTATGTAATTTAGGAGAATGAAATAAGAAGGTATTTGGGGCCTTCCCCAGGGAATAGAGATTCTTCCTGAAATTTCTACCATGTCAACTTATCTCATTAAATATTAAACAGAGAAATGAGTAATGCTAGAACACAAACAGCTGGTATAATGCCTTCAGTCAGGTCTATTTATCCTTATATGAAGTTTTATTTTATTTAGAATATTTGTTGATCTTCTAGAAGCTTCATCCATTTTATTTTTTGAAAGAAAGAAAATTGAATGATTGTCTAGTTTACTTCTTTGTCCTAAGATCAGTGAGGTATAATGTATGTAGAAAATGTTTTATAAATTGTAAGTGCAAGTTAACTATTATATTATCATCCTAGGGCTGAAACAAACTTGGGGAATCATAGAATTAAGATAGGTAAAGCAGAAGGAATCATAAAATCATGAAAACGTAAAATATAATTGGAAGGGACCTTGGAATATCAGACTAGGAAGATCTTAGAAATTCTCTTCATTTTACACAGGAAGAAGCTGAGACCTAGAGAATGGAAGTGTCTTTCATAGAAATCATCTGGGTTTCATTTTAAAAGTACTTCACTCCAGTGTTTTCCTAGCCTTTAAAATTTTCACATATTTATAAAAACCAGCACTGTTATTTATAATCTATAATTATCAATAGGATGGACCCAGCCCATATGACCCATTCCTTCATTTGAAGTTAAGTAAATGAGTTGAGCAGATTTTTTCCATGGAAGGAATAGCCAATGCAGATCATCAGTACATTTTTAATCATACATCCTCCAGTCAGCTCATGCACTTGATCAGCTATATTGAAAGCTTGCAATTATAAAATCATGGCTTCAGAGAGCTTTGAAATTGGAAGGGACCTCAGAAGTCATCTACTTCAACATATGTTCATTCCCAAGAAGATTATTTCCTGGTCTTTTAAGTCCAAGTTAATGTTGTGAAGTCAATTCCTATTGATCCATGACAATGAATTTGCAGTCATTTGACTTAGCAACCCAAGTATCTTCTATCAAGCAGAATAGTCAGTCTTGAATTTATACACCAAAAAGTGTATACCCCTCTCCCAAGAATGTCCCTCATTAAGACACGATTCAGAGGAAAGACTGGGAGTTGGAGGACACTTGGAATTAAGTCCTGGCCTTGCCACTAACTAGCTGTGTGTCCTTAGACAAGTGGCTTCTTCTCTTTGGGTTTCTTAGTCAGCTAGGGGGAGGGATAGGCTAAGTGATATTTTTGGAGCAAGTCAAAAAAATGTCATGAGGATAGAATAATAAGTATGGAAAGTCATTTAGAATGGTAAGGAAAGCCATCTTGTAGGGAAAAAATGGCTTTGATGAGAATTCAAAGCTATCAATAGTCATAAAAAAATGCTCTAAATCACTATTAATTGGAGAAATTCAAATTGAAACAACTCTGAGGTACTACCTCATCTGTCAGATTGGCTACCATGACAGAAAAGGAAAATGCCAAATGCTGGAGGGGTTATAGAAACAACTGGGACACTAATTCACTGTTGGTGGACTTGTGAACTAGTCTAGTCATTCTGTAGAGCAGTTTGAAACTATGCCCAAAGGGCTATAAAACTATGTATACCCTTTGACACAGCAATACCACTACTAGGTCTGTATCCTAAAAAGAACAGAGAAAAGGGAAAAGGGCCTAGTTGTACAAAAATATTTATGGCAGCTTCTTTTGTGGTGGCAAAGAAGTGGAAATTTAAGGGTGCCTATCCATTGAGGAATGGCCGAACAAACTGTATGTGATTGTGGTAGAATACTATTGTGCTTTAAGAAATTATGAAGGAGATGGTTTCAGAAACACCTGGGAAGACTTAAATGAACTGGTACAAGGGAAAGTGAGCTAGGAGAACATTGTACACAGTAACAATAATGTTGTAACAATGTGAAAGACTTAGCTACTCTGATCAATACAATAATCTAAGACAATTCCAGAGGACTCATGATGAAAAATGCTATCTCTCGAAAGAAAACTGATCTACTCAGAGTGCAGAGTGAAGCATACTTTTTTCATTTTCTTTTACCTTTCTTGCTAATTTTTTTTTTTTGCAATGGCTATATTTTGTGTGACTTCACATGTAAAATGAGTATCATAAGGGGCAGCTAGGTGGTCCAGGGGTTAGAGCACTGGCCCTGGAGTCAGGAGGACCTGAGTTCAAATCCAGCCTCAGACACTTACTAGCTGTGTGACCCTGGGCAAGTCACTTAACCTCGATTGCCTCAAAAAAAAAAAATAGTATCATACTGCTTGCATTCTCAGTGGGTGGGGAAGGGGCTGAAGAGAGAATTTGGAACTCAAAATTTTTTTTAATAAATGTTAAAATTAAGTATATCAACTTTAAAGAAAAAAAGAAAGAAAACAATGGCTTCTAATAGCATCCTATCTTGATGCTTTAACTGCAAAATGTTAAATGAAGAAACATCTACCTCTTCTTTTAAATACAACTTAGAGCACAGTTTAGCCAGCTAGGATCTTGTGGACTTCTGTGAACTAAAGTCTGCAATTATTGACTTGCCAAAACCTAAATACCCAGACTAGTCACTAGATATTCATAGCAAAGTTAGCTAGCAGTAACAGGAGTTATCCTGAATTGAAAAAAAAAATTTGTATTTTGTTGTTTTTTTCCTCTTTCAGGAAAGATTAGTTTTCCTGCTATCCAAGCTGCCCCATCCTTCAGCAACTCATTTCCACAGATTTTCAAAGATAGGACAGATATTCAGTGTCTTATTCCATGTGCCATAGACCAGGTGAGTAACCATTGCATTCCACTTAATTTGATCAGCTTTAGTTTCTATATGCTGTCAAGATTTTAATTGGAGTAACCTCTCAAGTATTATTCATTTATTAAAGTCTGGGCCTAAGCATGGGAAATTTTCTGTAACTGGTGCAAAGTGAATTAAACAGAACCAAGGAAAGAATATACCTAATGACTACAACAGTATGAAGTACCAAAAAAGAACCCAGAAATAAATACTTTGTAATTATAATGACTAGATTGGGCCCAGGAAAAGAGTTGAGAAAATGGGCCTTTTCCACAGAAGGGACTGTGGGTGTGGAACATAACATGTAGTGTCAGATTTGGTTTAAGTTGTGGTTAGTTTCGTTGACTTTATTTTTATTTTTTCTTTGTCAAAAGGATAAGGGAGGGTAGGACGATACATTTGAAAGTGAAAGTGATATAAAAACAAAGGATTTTGATTTTTTTTAACCTGAGGCTAAAATACAAGGATAGAAAATGATCAGCAGCCCAGTGTAGCAGAAAGGACCCTGGACTTGAATATGGGAGACCTGGCTTTGTAGTAGGAAGTGCTTTGATCTAGGATTTAGAATTCCTCCATTCAAGTCTAGGTCCAGACTGACATTAGGCAACTACATTTACTTTCCTGATCCTAATTTTTTTCATCTATAAGGTAGGGATAATGATATTTGCATTCCCTCTGTCAGGGTTGTTATAAGGAAAGTGCTTTGCAATCCTCAAAGCACTATGTGAAAGTTATTTCATTGCCTCATATTATCTCTGTGTTTATTCTGTCTTTTGTAGGATCCTTATTTTAGAATGACAAGAGATGTGGCCCCAAAGATTGGCTATCCCAAACCGGCCTTGCTTCATTCATCCTTCTTCCCAGCTCTGCAGGGAGCCCAAACTAAAATGAGTGCCAGTGACCCCAATTCTTCCATCTTCCTTACTGACACAGCCAAGCAGATCAAGAACAAGGTAAACACCTCCCTTGGCTGAAAAACAGCCTGTAGAAGGCAACCTCTAGGTGGCTTAGTGGACTGAGTCCTGGGCCCAGAGTCAGAAAGATCTGAGTTCAAATCCCACCTCGGATACTTACTAGCTTTGTGACCCTCGGCAAGTCACTTAACCTCTGTTTGTTTTAATCCTTTGGAGAAGGAAATGACACACCCCTGTAGTATCTTAGTATGGTCCACGGGATCACCATGGGTCAGACATAACTGAACAACAGTGTTTTAGGGAAACATTTTCTTTTGCCCCTGGTGAATACTTGTTGATCTTTAAGCATTCACCATTGTAATAATTTATGCTACTAGAATAACTATTAGTCTAACTTCCTCTACCCATTTGATTTGAAGTATTGGGTACTATTTCTAGAAATCAGCTAGGTCATGGCAACACCTATATCCAGAAATGTACTGGAATGTACTATAGTGTGGTGTATGTTCCCCATCTTCTTTAGTTGTCTTGTATGGAATTCTGACTCCATTTTGTATGTGAGTTCATAAACTCTTCGAGTTCAAAGGGGATTGAAGAGATGATTCTAGGGACTCAAAAGTTTTGTGAACAAAGTCCACATTTTGTCAGACCCTACCAGTCTGGAAAGGTACTAGACATGGACGATATGTCTGGCCCCAGACTGTGTATATTTGTCATCGGAGAACCAGACTTAAGTACAGAGAGAATTTATCATCAAATGGAGGAAATGTTGGAATTATGAAGATCATCCACACTCCGCAATGGAATGTAAGCTCCTCAAGGGAAAGAATTGTTTTTTTCTTTTCTTTGCATCCATAGTACCTATACTGGTAGTCCCTTGCGGCTTATAGACACTTAATAAGCTCTTATTGGATTTAATTGACTCTCTGAAGGAATACATCCTTCAGAGGTGGGTCTGTGATCTTTCTTAGAGAAATCCCTACGCCAGTGAAATCCTGGATCCTTGGAGTGTTGAAATAGTATTGATGGACATTCAATGGATACTGCTGTTTTTATATTTTCTGTTGGCTTATTTGTTTGTTTGAGACAATCTCACCCTATCTCACCCAGGCCAGAAGTGCAGCAGCCACTCGCAGACCCATTCCCAATACTAATTGGCATGGAAGCTTTCACTTGCTCCATTTTTCCCAAGTAGGCCAGTCTGCCCCTCCTTAAGCAGGGGGCACACCTGATTGGTACCAAACTTAGTAGAGGCACTGGTTGTGTGTGAGCCTCAAGGAAGCTCAAAATTCTCACATTGGTGACCCACCAGCCTCACCTCCTCCAGAACCGGGGTTTCGGCATGTGCCACTACTCTCAGCTCACTCTTTTTAGCTAAAAGTATTCATTTATCTAAATTACCACAGATTATATTTTCATGAATTGTGTTCTGCAGGTCAACAAACATGCATTTTCTGGAGGTAAAGACACCATAGAGGAACACAGACAGCTCGGAGGCAACTGTGACATTGATGTGTCTTTCATGTACCTCACCTTCTTTCTAGAGGATGATGACAAACTCGAGCAGATAAGACAGGTATTTCTAAGGGCATAATCTGGCAGTGCATGCCTTCTCTATTATGCTTTCTGTGTAGCTGGAAAGCAGTTTGATTTACACAACATTAGAAATATTTCAAATAAATGGGCAAGACACCTGTTCTCTTCTCTCTCAAGGATTGAATTTTGCTACTTAATTTGGCTTCAGTCAAAGTTTAATTATAACTGAATTTGGTTGGTGATATATTTAATATTATATTTTTGACAAATTCTTTTAAAACACCTATCATGTGCAGAATATTATGTTCAGCATGAGGAGAATTAAAAAGTTTAGATAAGCCAATATCCCTGCCCTCATGAAGCTTTCAATTGAGTAAATAGGACACTTACATAGATAACTACAATACATGATAAATAAGAAACAAAAGCAGCATGCTGACACCTCATAGAGGAATGGTCATTACCAGCTGACAGGGAAGCCAGTCCTGGAGATGGTGGCATTTGACTTGGGTTTAAAGGACAGATAAAAATTTAAGGAGAGACCTTGCCATAGGGGCCGGCATAAACAAAGACATAAAGGGGCAGGGGAGGAGCACAAGTCACATTGGGGTGTCTACAAGTAGGACAATATAGTACCAGATTTGAGAGAGCCTTAACTACCAGGATGGGAAGTTTGAAACATACTCATTAGGCAATGGTGGACCAGCTTTAAAAATGTTCTAAAATAGGAATCCTTAAGCTGGGATTAATGAACATTTTAAAAAATATATGTTGATAACCATATTTCAAAAAATAACTGATTTCCTTGTGCCTATGTATTTGATTGTGTGCATTTAAAAACATTATTCTGAGAAGGGATCCATAGGTTTCATCAGACTGTCAGAAGAGTCCATCACATACAAAAAATTTTTAAATCCCATGCTAGAGATAAGAACTAAGAGGAACTATTTTAAATATTTAGATTTTGAGTTTGAATGTATTTGCAGTAATATGCCCCAATAAAGTTTTGGGTTCAGGTTTTTTTTTTTTTAGTTTTGCATTGTTTCATTAAAATATGTGGGAAAAAGAAAACCACATGGTACCTTACATTAATCCTTCTACTCTGACAGAGAGAAATGGTTGGTTCTTGTCAGAGGCTATTGACTAATCACCTGGACAGAGAGCTTAAGAATGTGTATTTTTAAAAATTTTTCTAAGTTCCATAGTTTGGTGGTAGAAACAGTGCCAGACCACAATGGGGTATAGTGAAGAGCATTGAATATGGTGCCAGAAAATTGGATTTAAGTCCCAGCTCCATCATTGCCAGTTCTCTTCAGGCTTCAGATTCTGTGAAAAGGGGATGGTCATACTTGTACTAGATGCTTCACGGGGTGATGGAGATCAGCTACCAAAGCACTAGAGAAAGATAAAGCTCTTTGTAACCCTAAAGCACTACAGAAATGGGACTTAGTCTTATTAGCAATGTGGCTCAGCATGTGCCAGTTCTGTTGCTAACTATATGACTTGGGACAAGTTGATTGTGCCTACATTTTCCCAGAGCAGCCCATTTCAGTTTAGGATAGCTCTGATTGTTAGGAAGTTTTTCCTTATATTATGCCAAAATTTATAATTCAGTCAAATTCTATAAGCCACACATAACTTCACAGATCAATTCAACCAACATCTTACTAGTTTTTTTATTTAAAATTTTATTCTGTTTAATCCATAAGCTTTATATAACTTTATTTTTAGAAAGAGACAAAAAAGCCAACAAAAAAAAAAACAAAATAAAGTAAAATAGTGAAAACATGACAATATCCAAAATTGAGACACTTTTCAAAAGCAAGAGCTCTGAAAGTTCAGTCTACCAACTGTAAGAACCCTGACAAGACAGTTATGAATGGAGCAATGATGTCATTTCACAAACAGAATTTTATGTAACTGAAGGGACTTTCTGGGGGCATAACTGTCCTTATAAGCAAATGAAGGGTAGGGGTGGACAAGAGAGGAAAAAATGAAATTCCAGTGTTCCAAATCAACTCCACAAAGATAAAAAGTGGTGTGAGCCACCTTCAGAAAGGTTATGTTATACCTGGGGGGTGTACACAGACAGTCAATCTGATGAGTTAGCATTTTGTCCTCTAGGCCATGGTGACCCACTGAAGTTTTTTGGGCAAGAAGGTGATCTGGTCAAAGCTATGCACTAGGAGGATTATTTTGGCAGCCCTGTAAAGGGCAGTTGGAAGAGAGGAAGAGTGGAAGGTAGGAACACCAGTTATGAAGCTGTCACAATGGTCTGGGTGAGAAGTGACGGCCAGAATTAGTATGGTGGCATTGAGAGCAGAACAGAAGGAGGGATGTTAGGCATGTTATGGTAGAACTGACAGTGGCTGTGGCAACTTATTGGATGAAAAGGACATTTCTCTATATTCTTATATAGAATCGCCTTAGGATTGCCACTGTGTAAATGTGATTTGTCAGTAGTGTGCTGGTGGCATAGGCTTTGGTGGCAGATGTGGACTAGAAAACAATTGTGTCCCAGACCTGTCACTAACCAGCTCTGTGACTCAGAACAAGATGATTGCGCCTCCCTTTCTGCTACATCTTTACCATCCTTGCCTGTATCCTGCTCGTTCTTTGAGGATGAATAAGATTATATCGACTGTGACCACTCATCAGGGATGCTGTGGAGGACATTCTTGCTGCGGGTTAGGGCTGACCTCGATGGCTTCTGTAGTCTCTTCCAGAGTCTCAGAGCTAGGAGGGACTTGAGGAGTCATTGAATCCCAATCATACTGGAACAGGAACCCCTCCCTCTCCCCCGTGCTCGAGAGTGAAATTCCCGTGAATTTCAGGGCACAAGAATCTCTCTTATGATTTTGCTCTCTCTCTGGTAGGATTACACAAGTGGAGCTATGCTCACCGGAGAGCTAAAGAAGACGCTCATTGAAGTGCTGCAGCCGTTGATTGCCAATCACCAGGCCCGGCGCAAAGAGATCACCGAGGACATCGTCAAACAGTTTATGACTCCAAGGAAGCTATTCTATGACTTTCAGTAACACAGATCATATAGACATCTGGGTTTATATGTGCACAGTTCATCAGTAAATATCTGCCTGATTGACTTGCTGTCACCCATAGTCATCTATCAACTGGTAAATGTCATATTTAATTGAGACTGAGAGTTGGAAGGGACCTCTTGCAAATTCTGTCTGCAGCATCCCTGACAAGTGGAGATCTTGTCTTACCTTATTGTCTGTAAGCCATATGTTACCTGTTTCTTCCTGTGAATTAGCGTGTACCAGCTTAATGTGGAAAAAGTCCATACCATGTAATAGCATGTAAGCAAAATAAAGAATTCTAGAAGTTCATTTCTACTACAAAATAAATGAAAGAATGTGGTTTGAAGTGTTTGAAGAAAGTTGATCATCCATTACCTGGTAATCCAAGCATTTAAATTCACAGCAAGTTGAGAAAGGTATGGCTTATTAAGTGTGCAGATCCTCATATTTTTTACCTAAAATATATCTATCTGTGCTTTGCATTTGGTACAGATACTGAAAATGTCCATTTCCAATCTTCCTCAGTGTTCTGAATCTATTCTTTTATATCCTACTTTGGGCAAAAGTGTAAATTGATGTATCGCTAGAATCAAAACTCCATTCGTGCTGAGTTAAAAAGTTACTTAGGAAATCAGTATTGGCATTTAGTGAGTTTAACTCTGATGCATGCTGCTTAAGCAGAGAAGCTTCCTTCCCCTAGTACTAACAAAAAACTTTGCAATAAGTTCATCTCAGCTGACTCAAGAGAAAACCTTGACACGGTTCTGGTGTTGCAGGTGGTGCTTCAATATCACAATACCTGTTCTTATGAAATTATCAAGTTCTTCATCGGTAAATTTTTCCATTTTGTTTCTTAAGTTGATTTCTGCTCTCCTGCCCATGGCTCTATTCCAGAAATCATGCTTTCTTAACTGATTTTCCAGTATTTCTAAACCAAAGAATCAGAGAAATTTCACACTCCATTTATGACAAAGGAAATATGAAATAATTTTGCCATTTTGTTTTTGATACATAAAATCCTGAAAAAAAAACCAGCTCTTGCCTTTTCAAATCATTGTCTTAGCACTTGACTGACTTAGAAATGCAAGACAGGTAGGTTTCTCTTAACTGTTTCTGAATTCCTAAGGACAATAAAAATAGAAAGAAAGTGTTTACTGTGCCAAGTTGATAATATGGACCTGAAAGCCCTGAAGACCCATATGAAAATGATGTAATGTAACTCTGTAGTGAGTAAAAATCAGCCACTTATATCAGCTCCTTAGTTTTCTACAGCCAGGATACCAGAGTGGGGTAGCATTCCTAACTGAATCTTCACTTAATCTGTATAGAAGAAAACACTACCCCTTCTCCCACGCTCCCCTTTGCAAACAACTGTGAATCTTTGGAAGGGCCTTGCTTGATTTAAGAACGCTCAAGATGAATCCCTAAGAAAGTGACTGGGATAAACTTTCAACCCACATAAAGATTTCAGGAACCTCATACAAGTGTTTGGTACCAGCAGAGCCCCAGGAGGAGTGATGGAGCACATCAAAATGTAAGGGAGGAGGCCATCCCTCCTTTCTCCTTCCACCACTGTCACTGACTGACTGGACTGTCCTCTGCACTACTACACCAGCCAACAGTAGGTTTGGTTGGTTGCAAAAACTAGTCACTAAGTTGTTTGACAAAGGCAGCCTTGTGTAGGAGAAATTGCCTTAGATTTGGAGTCAGGAGATTTGGGTCTAAGTCCTAGCTGTAGCCACTCTCTTTTGCGACCTCTCCAAGTCTTAGTTTCCCAATCTGTGAAATGAAAGAGTTGGACTAGACAATTTCTCAGGTCCCTTTCAGTCTATGACAGCTCAACCATCAGCTCAACCATCCCAGTGACAGGGATCACAGCAATTCTGGTTTGTTTTTTTGTTTTTGTTTTTGTTATTGTTTTTTTCTTTTTGGTAAGGCTGTCGGGGTTAAGTGACTTGCCCTGGGTCACACAGCTAGTAAGTGTCAAATGTTTGGTCTGAGGCCGGATTTGAACTCAGGTCTTCCTGACTCCAAGGCTGGAGCTCTATCTACTGCGCCACTCAGCTGCCCCAATCACAGCAATTCTGAGGCACCAAAACAGAATCTTAGCTTTCAAAGAGAACTTGGAGATAATCTAGTTTACCCTCTATTTTATAGGTGAAGAAACAGAGGGAAATAACATGTCTAAGGAAATTCAGCTAGTAAAGGGCTAAGTTGAAATCTGAACCCCATATTCTTGACTGTCAGACCAGTGTCCTTTTCACTATTCCTTTCTGCCTTTTCTTAGTCCTATGCTAACTGAATATAAGAAGGCCCCAGGCAACCATCTGAGAACTCCCCTTTGGCTTAGGTAGCACAGGATTCTTTAGGGGATTGGCTGCTCCAAGAATAGGACTGTCCTTTCTGCTACTGTCTATGACCCTTTCATGCCCTTGCCCCAGATTGTCAGGATTGCCCAACTGGGAAGTCTTGAAGCTAAGATTTGAACCCAAGTCTCCAGGTCAAGTCTATGACTCTTTCCACCATGCTTTCCACCATTCCACCCTCTGGTCCATTCCAGTTCTGTAATACCTAGAAACAGGACCCTGTGCTTTGCTATGGCAGGCTCTAGTACCAAAAGCCTAGATCCCTGCCAGAGTTACACCAATTGTCTTTCTAAAAAGAAAAATCAAAAATTCCCATTTCTATAGTGCTTTATGGTTTGCAAAGCACATTCATCACAACAGTATTGTCCTCATCTTGTCATTTTATAGAATAGGAAACAGAGAGGTTGAGATTTGCCTACAAATGCACAACTAATAAATGGTAAGGCAGGATTTGAACACAGGCCCCTAGACTTCTTGTACTCTAACCACTACACCACATTCCCTTTCAACCCAGAGGCAAAAAGAAGCAGCTTTTTCTCTCACTTTTGGGTGTGGGCTATTTTGTTGTTTGTTCGTTTGAACATAAATCAATGTTCTAGGGAAGCCAAATTAAAATTATTAAACTCGCTTATAGGAAACATTTCATATTTGGTCCAATACTCTCACTTGCACAAGTGACCTCGGACTAGTTAATCTCTAGGCCTCAGTTTCTTTGTCATTTAAAATGAAGAAGTTGTTCTTGATGATGTCTATGGTCTCTACCAACTCTAAATCCTATAATAATAATAATAATAATAACAATAATAATAATCCAAGTTCATGAACTCTGGAATTCTTTAATCAGGACATCTTTTGTCATTCTATATTCCCATCTGTCTTATGACCTTTAACCATGTTCTTCATCCTCACTGAAACCTCAAATCCCTGCACCCATCTCCCCTGCATTGGATACATTCTCCTCCCTACCCCCTTTTGGGCCCTTGGTGAACCAGTTCAACCCTACACCATCCTCTGTACTCAAGTCCCTTGCCCTCTTATCCTACTGTCAATCGTATCTTGGATTACTCCCACCATTTACTGCCTTTACTCCTATTCATGTGCTTCTGAATGGAAGGGGAAAAACTCACAACAGTGATAATCCAATCCATTACTAAAACATATTACGTAATCTCAATTTGGTCCTCACTGCAGCAAGGCAATCTTGTTATACCTCCCTAATCAGTTCAGCATGGCTTTTCCAAATCTTTGAATCCCTTCTTAAACTTCCCAAAGCAGTCTTTCAAGCCAGACTCTTAGCTAAGAACCTAATCTCCTACTTCACTGAAAAAATTAAGGCTATTCACTCAGAGCTCCCTCTTCTCCCCTCCTCATATTTCATCATCCAGCATTTCCCCCACCATGTCTTCCTTCACCACTGACTCATGTGAAGAGGTAGCCCTTCTTGCCAAGGAAAATCTGTCTAGATGCACCCGATCTTCTTCAGCGGATTGTCCCCTTTATCATTCCCTCTCTCATTAACCCAGTCTTTCCCTATTAACGAGCTGTTTCCTTCAATAGGAGCAGAACCAGGAGAACACTGTACTCAGTAACAGGCAATATTGTAATGATAATCAACTATGAAAGGCTTAACTACTCTGTCAGTCTTGATGACTGATCCAAGACAATTCAAAATGATGAAAAATGCACTCCACCTTCAGAGAGAGAACTGATGAACTCTGAGTGCAGATTGAAACATTTTTTTTAACTTTATTTTTCTTGTGTGTATGTGTGTTTTCTTTTTCAGCATGGCTAATATGGAAATGTTCTGCCTAATTTTACATGTATAAATGATATCTTGCCTTCTCAGGGGGTAAGGGAGGGGAGAAAGGAAGAGCATTTGGAACTCAAATTTTTTAAAAAATGAATGTTAAAAAAAATAGTACACGTAATTTGGAAATATTTAACCAAATAAATAAAAATAGATTTTAAAAAAAACCTCTCACTAGATCCAACCATCCTATGTCTCTCCCCCTTTTTGAAGTAAAACTCCTTGAGAAATCAGTTCTTCCACTTTCTCTCTTACTCTTTTCTACTTCTTCTGCTTTCTGACTTCCAGTCTTATCATTCACCTGAAACTATTCTTTCCAAAGTTATTGATCATCTCTTAATTGCCAAATCTAATGTCCTCTTCTCAACTCTCATCTTTCTTAACTTCTCTGCAGACTGACATTATTGATCACCTTCGGCATACTCTCTCATCTCAAGGCTTTCTTAACCCTCTTCTCTCTCGATTCTCCTCTTAGCTGTCTGACCGCACTTTCTGTCTCCTTTGCTGCATCTATATCCAGGTCATGCCTGATTCAAAAAGGAGCCCCAAACAAATGACTGAGTCAAATGGATTTCTTTATGGAAACATAGGGGTTTATCTGGACCAATTCATCACCACCAGAAATTGCAGAAGGGTTAGGGAGACAAGCAGCTTAGCATAGTAGATAGGGAACCACCCGCAAGACCTGGTTTCAAGTCCCGCTCCTAACATATACAATGGCTGTGTAACCTGGGCAAGTTAGTAATTTCTCAGAGCTACTAGCGAGCAATGTCACTCGTGAGTAGGCCAAGCCTACAATCCAGGATTCCAGAGTGGGCAAAAAGGAGTTTGAAAATCAAGTAAGAGAGGTAGAGGAAAAATGGAAAGAGAAATGAAAGTGATGCAACAAAATCATGAAAAATGAGTCAGCAGCTTGGTAAAGGAGACACTAAAAATACTGAAGAAAAATAACACCTTAAAGAACAGACTAGGACAAATGGCAAAAAAAAAAAGTCCAAAAAAGCCAATGAGGAGAAGAACACCTTAAAAAGCAGAATTGGCCAAATGGAAAAGGAGGTACAAAAGCTCACTGAAGAAAATAATTCCTTTTTTTGACCACCACCTCCCTCAGTTCCACCTCCCTTCTATTAGCCCCCTCCCTTTTCTTCCCCTTTACCCTTAATACTTCTTCCC